GGTGATATCCTTGTACCTTAAGAGCGGGTTTATGCTCTGATGGGCCAAAGAAAATGTTTGGAATGCAGTTTTTGCGGTGTTAATTACCATTCCATTGTTGTCACACCAGTTTGCTAGTAGTTTAAGTGCACTATTAAGAGCACTTTCTGTCCTCTCCTGAGCGTTTTTCTTAGGGGCGGAATACCATAGAACAAGATCGTCTGCATAAAGTAAGCACTTAACGCCCGTGACTGTCTGTACCAATTCGGCTATGTCAGATATGGAAATGCTCTATCAAAATCCAATCTTTTGCAAACAGGCCTCCCACAGGGAGCTGTCACAAGCTGCACTCTTTTCAATGTCTTCATCAATGACCGGCATAACATAGTTTTCATGGTTTTGTATACTATTAATTCATCGGCCATTAACTTGTTTACTCATTTTTTTGTAAATTTACCAACTTCCCTTTGCTCACACGTATTCAGACAATAGGAGAAATTGGTTGAAGGAAGTTTAAATCAAAGCAAAACATAGGTGCTAAGTATTTGTAATCTTGCAATAGAAGCATCAATAAGAAATCTATCAAATTCCATATGCAAAAAACGCTCCACCAGCAAGGAAATAAAAAAGGTGACACATTTCTTATACCTGTAGGGGCTGTGTCCTTTATATGTTCTTATGAAATAGAAAATCTGAATAAAAATAAAATAATTTCAACCTTCAATCTATCTCTAAAAGGCCCACCCCCCACCCCCAATCGCCGCTAGAAAACTGTTAATTTTGTTGAATAGTTGCAGCTTTACCGAGAAAGCAATATTAACAATTCATAAATTTTAATTTTACTTCCAGCATATAATGCGTAGACGGCACGTATCCGTAAGAGGTGTTTAATGTAAACTTTGAAAACAATAGATGGGCGCATTTTGTGCGATTTTTCGAAGAACTAACGCTTATACGATTTCGAACTAGTAGGAAATCCCATTCGAAGAGGAGAATTCTGTGGGATTGCTCCAAATGAAGCTATCCCTGGAGAAGCAATAGATCAGCAGATATCAAATAGCTATGAAGACAAACCTAAGAATCTACCTTTGCACAGCAACTGCCAAGAAACAGGCTCTGACATAAGAAATGATGAACCAAACTACGTAGAATCCGAATCGGATAATGGCAGACCAGCCAGAAGCCAATAACTTAGAAAATATGCAATTATCAAGAGTCTGCGACGTCGCATATTCAGTAGGCAGAACCACCAGCAAACCAAACTTTGCCCAATAACAGGATAAGTACCAGTGCAAAGATCTCAAGCACCTGACTCAATGTGAATTCGGCGATGAAATCTTTTAACCTTGACTGTGGGGAATCGGCATGGTTGAAAATATGCTGACTGACTAGAATAAAGTAGCCAAAAGGAAATATAAACAGTAGTGCCGACTCTAAGATTGAAACGAATAATGCAGAAAGTAAATGAAATCAAGCTTCATCCAATACAGAAACTGATACTACTCAAAATAAATAATCAGAATAAGGAAGCAACGGAACAGTTGGGTCTATTGAGAAACTGACCGTAAATATGACAAAGACGAAGTCATTTATTCCTCAGTATCTACGACTGTACCTCACTCTACATACTGTACCAAGATAATGGGGCGTGCTACATATGAGGGTGAGTCAAAACAGGCAAACTTCATAAGTTAATCATTTATCAATTGATTACATTCATTTTCTGGCATAGGCATCATTGTTGCCTATACACTAGTGTAATATACATATATTTCCATCCACAAATTCCTTCATGGTAGGAGTTTGGGGGGGGGGGTCTCTGGCACTATGCAATTATATGCTCTTTCGCTTCATCTAAAGTCGTAAATCAGATGCCTTTAAAGTGTTCTTTCAATTTTGGAAACAATAAAGTCTAAGGGAACTAGGTCTGGAGGATGCAAAAGTGTATCCCACCAAAAGTTGCGCAGCATGACCCTGACAGCTCTTGAAGAATGCGCAGAGGCATTGACATGATGAAACAAAAGTTGATTTTGGAGATTCCTTGGCCGTTCTTTTTGGCGATGTCTTCAACTTTTTTTCAAAACAAATTCCTAATAACTTGAGGTGACCGTTTCCCATCCTTCTGGAGGGGGGGTATCAATGTCATTCCTTTTGAATTTCAAAAAATAGTGGCAATGACCTAAACGGACCCTTTAGTTTTGAACTTGACTGACCCAGATGTTCCCTTTGGATGTCACTCTTTTAACTGAATTCCGTTCATTTCCAGTAACACAGCGTTTAAAACAATTGTCCTCATTTGTTTCGACCTTTGCAAAAATTGCTAAAGAGAGTTCAACTCTTTGGATCAGCTGTTGTTCCTGTAACGATTTTAGAAACCACTGTGTCCACCGAGAGCTTCCTCGAGCCAAGATTTTCTGTCAGAGTTGAAAATGCTGATCCAAGTGCGGTTACTACTTCATTGGCTATTTCCTCAATGCCAACTCGTCCATCTTGTTCCGCTAGGTTCTGCACAAGATAAGTGCACTCTTCATCTCATTTTGTGCTGGGTCTCCCTCCTCATGGGTCGTCATCAAGTTGCACTCTTCCCTCTTTAACGCGTTTAATCCAATAAAAAATGGCGCTTTCATATGGCGTAGTCTTCATAAACCTGTTGTAAGCTTTTTTATCTAAACTTTGTTCTATTTGAAGTCATGCCATGTTCGGTATTCTTACTGGATCAAGAAATACTCAAGAATAATCTCCACTTTATTGAGGTATAAGAGAAATCACTGCCTCCCAAAGTCTACACTTAATTCAACGCGCTTTTCTACCATCACTGAAGAAGTCGATTAAGAATTTTGAGCCCCGTTTGAAAATATACCTGTAAATGAACGTAGCTCTCAATAGGGAATACCGCGCATGAATCAACGATATTCACTAGTTGTTCGACTATGCAACTCCATGTAGTATTGGTACAATATTTTAAAAAGACTAGAATATTTTCAAAACGACTTTAGAGGGCGAGTTCACAAATACCTACGGCTGAGCCTTTTGGGCAAATATAGACTTTTAGTTTGGGAGATGACATATTTAGAGATTAATGCTGTGGGGATTGTAATTAGTAATCGAATACGTATTAAGTTGTTGAGTGGGTAAGCAAGAGTTAAGAATATGTTTCGAGTAAAAATAAGAGATCAGGACTCACCAGCATGTTGTCCGGGAACAGGCATAGTGTACTCCCGAGCGGGGAACATCTGCCAAACAAAAAGTTGGCCACTATCAGATAGGGTGACTATTCGAGTGGGGTCATGAACACACCAACGTGGAACAGAGACCTCACCACTTTGGTGTCCGGAGAGAATGCAGGGGTGTTGAACACGTTTGTCCACTGAGTAAATGTAAGCTTTTGAGTCTGCGCTTCCTGTGGCAAGATAGGAGTCATCTGGACTCAGAGACATCTTGATATAAAATGATCCTGTTACATGGCCCGTATAGAGCATGACTAAAATGAAGGCATAACGAATCCAATTACTCCATACTGTCTGATTGCAGGTATCAAATTTCATTAAGAGTTTGAACATGTCTCCGGTGTCTCAGCATCAATTCCACCCCTCCCCCCCCCCCCCCCCCCCCCCCAACAAACCCAGTATCCAGGACCCAAATGAATTAGAACTCGAGTCCAAACTTAAAGTGCCACTTGCCAGAAAAACTGAAGAGATGCTGATCCAATCAATCCAGTATAAATCTAGTTGGTACAAATAACTTTGGACGAGAATGCTGACGTCTGTTCTCTAAACAGAGTTAAGTCCCCCGGATCCGCAACGACCATCAAAATCGTCCGAGGCTGTTTGTAGAGTGGAATCAATTTCGTGCCTCTCACTCCTCTCGATACACGATTCAACCTTCGGTCTTTAAGCAGGTTGTAGATTTTACCAATTATCTAACTCAACACGTAACTTAGGCCACATTTCCTGCCTGTAATCTTCCAAGAAAAAAAACGTTTTCAATCAATCTTAAAAAAACTTGAAAGAACTACAGCTAAGAAACTGCATCCAAACAACACATACCATAAGTCTAAACAACAAAATAAAGCATATAAACGCAAAAAATAGTTAGTTTCAAACAAATAATTTACCAGGACGAGTAGAAGTGGAGTTAAGATCATATTTATAGATATTGTGATCCATACAGCTTGCAAATAGATGACTTCGGACAGAATCCACAATCAAATCAGAATAACCTAATCAAAATAGAAGGCAAAAACTATAAATAAAATAAGGAAAATAGCAACGCAATGGAAGCCGAAAAAGCAAACTAACCGCACTGTTTCTTAGAAATTCCCTTGTAAGGGAGAGAAACAAGAGGCTGTGGTGGATTCTTTTTTAATGGTCCAAATTTTCGAATATCCCAGATTTTAATAACACTGAGAAGCGGATGAAAAAAGAGTAAAAAGACAAACCCATCAGTAGATCCTGCTGTAACGAGTTCATAGTCCCTTGCAAATACAACGGAGGTAATAGTGTGAGCATCAGTCTAAAGTTGGAAATAAAGTAGAAATAAAAAACCCACTGCTGAACGTCGAGAAGCTGCACGAGAACGGCGAACGGGATTGGACGTAACAGGAAGGTGGCAACCTTGTAAATGAAAAGCACTACCAACACCAATCGCATTTTGAGAACGCAAATCCCAAATTCGAATCGAACCATCTCGAGAAACAGAGGCAAAAATTTCTAACGAGTTAAGAAAAATTTTAAACATACTTTTATTTAGTGGCCATATCGCCATAGATCGAATGGACATTTTGTGACCAAGATACACACTAATACATGTTCCACTTTCAGCGTCAAAAAGCTTGATGGTCTGATCTCCAGATCCAGTTAAAAACTGACTCCCGTAATTAACCCACTTTACGCTAAATATGGCATTTTCGTGAGCAGAATAATCTAAATAAAGGTAATATAATACAAACAATAGTACGTGCATTTTAAAAGGCCTTCTGGGCCTTCTTTAGAGGTATCGAATAGATGAACTAAACCATCTTCCTTAGCGACAAGCAAATTATTTGGGGAGCCTAAAACAAATATAAAGGCAAAAAAAGAATCTACTTGGTGAAAAATCACAGTCGAATGGAGGGGAAACGGCATCAATGTTAGAGTGCAATCGGAAGGCTTGGCTTTTTAAACATTCGAAGTTTTTAACCCCAATCAGAGGAATACATCGACCTTATCATAATAATATAATTTAATTACACTCACGTCTGGTAGGTATTAAATTAGCTAAACATGTATATTGTCTGTGTATAACTTCATTATAAATCGAATCAAGCATATCTGCCGAGGATTGGCTAGATCGAGTAACCGCCTTCGTCAGGTCGTACAAAATTGAGCAACAAAAACTGTTATATATATTTTTGATCAAAATTCGTTTTTCTTGTTGTTAACATATCCTTTTTAATTTATTTTCGGTTTCATTTATAATATTTGTGAAAAGCAATTTTTCATAAGTGAATACATCCTGATGTGCTCACAAATTGAGAATCTTGTGCATTTACATCAAATTGCAGGTTTTATAACAATTAACATCTGCCCTTTAGTCAGCTTCAGGTTTCACAGAGGGGATTAACATCAAAATCACAAAAAGTCGAGAGGTGGAACAGATAAGTGATTCACAAATCTAAAATTGACAAACATAAAGGTAGTTATAAAGGTAAGGTGAGTATTGTGAAAGTGATCGAATATGGCCTTAATCGGGTGATGGTAATGTATAGATTATTTTGCCGTGAGAGTATATGTTGCCCAGTTTGCAACATGTGGAAGTAAGTCTATCGTACACCCCAACTGTGATTCATACTTCCAGGAAAAATAAAAATTTTGACGATATGGGTTTGCGATAGACTTACCTCCACGCGGTGCACCCTGGGCAACGCATACTCATATTAACCGGTAGTTGATTTCTGACTTATAACTACTATGACCCGACACTATGTCATATTATACGACTCCATAGTACTCACCTCACCTATTTTCTACCTTTGTGTCAGTCTCTTTTACGTCTTTGAAACACTCTTCCGTCCCCCCCCCCTCTCGACTTTTTTCACTTTGATGTTCCTCCTCCTCTCTGTGAAGAATGAAGTCAACTAAAGGGTTAATTATAATTATCAAAGCGACCTCCATTTGATATGAATATTTTGTCGATAGTCTTGAGGAATACAGTGGATTGCGCTTTTTCTATCAAGATTATTTTCTTCGTGATTTATCACCAATATCATAGCATTGTTCAAATTTTGTTGTTATTTTATTGGAAGGAAGCATTTGAGGATATCAAATGAATCAACGTTAATGAAATTTCTCCAGATGTAGAAAATTTGATTGATTTGTAGTTAATACTGAAATTATTTTAGACGTAATTAAAGTGAAATGGAAATAAATAAATTATTATGATTTCATTTTGCAAAAAAACATTATGAATAAGATTTCGCTTAAGTATTACAGCACTTTATTAAATTAGTATATATAATACAAAAAAGTTGATATTCCAAAGCCTCAACAGACAAAGTCTTTTAATGGGAAATTCTTAAAATCCTACCCTTAACGTCAAAACTATGGAATTCTTGATTATACTTCAAATCGTGGTTATCATTCGAAATTATACAAATATGGTGAAATTTAAAAACAATTGATTATAAATTCTAATGTCCAACATACGCTTCTTAAAAGCCTTATACTGCTAATCGCTACGATTATATTTATATTATCAGAAAAGTCAAACAATTCCATAACAGGTGATTTAATAAAACTTTTGAACTTGCTTAATAATATGATGAAATTCTTGATCTTTGTTTACAGAATCTGTTCGAATATATTACTTTTATACCTTGAATAAAAGCTTACTGCTTACCAAATTCCGGAGAAAATGGGAAAACTGAGTTAGGTTTGAGCAGAGAGAGAGAGTGAGATAGGAGTGAACCATGCTAGTGCATAAATGACAAATATGAGCGTGAGATAGTTTTTAATTTTCATGGAAGAGTTCTCAAAAATTGCTTTATACTATTGGCATGATAGGTAGTGTCTTCCTCCACAATAAACAATTCAAACATACCAGTCCATCGACTTAAGATCTGTGAAGTTCGAAGGCCAAACAATCGAACTGGTGCAGTCGTAAAAATGGGCTCAAACAACTTTGGACTTTTTTAAAGTGTAACAGTTGGTCGATAGTTCACTGGCCAGGACTTAACTACTCCAGTAGTCAGCGAGTCCATGTCTACCTCTGATTTCTATCTTAACCCCCTTGTAAAAATATGGAGAGAGGTAACACATCACGGTCGCACTTGTTCCCTACGCAATAAATAGAGATGCACAACTATGAGCCTCACTGAGGGCACATGAGATTTCTTTGTTCAGCCATGGTAGTATTGTGCACCCCACAGACTACACTAATTTATTCCTATAACATCCCATGTCTCCGACTACCTGAATCTATATTTCTTAGTAAACTCTTTATTCCGATATATATATATATATATATATATATATATATATATATAACGGAATATATATATATATATATATATATATATATATATATATATATAGATTAATAACAGCCGTTCCCTAAAGTCGTGTTAGTTGAAATACTTTAAGGTCATGCTAGAAGCTATTTGACCCCAGAACACCACTTTTAAATAATCGCTGGGATGTGCCCTTGCTGTTCTATTGGGTCTAAGACTTCAATTGCACCAAGTACTATTTTTTTTCATTAGCCCTTTTATATACTTCACTTGGAAGCACACCTGCCTATTTAAATATCTAACGAATCAAATTCATAGCTTGTTCGCCATGCATTCACTAAAGCGTGCCCGTAAAAGCATTTTCATTGGCTCAAGATATATGAAGCTATTTCATTGGTTATATAAAATACTGCGCAGTTTGCTTTTCTGATTTAACTCACAATACGTGCCTTTTGAATAAATAGTTTAAATGCTTATGCTTCTAACTAGATAGTGCGAAAAATACTTCTGTTGATTTTCAAATGAGACTATCTCTAATGGAATTAGTTTAGTAGTATTAATCTGTAGGATTTCAGGAAATCCTGAAAAGAATAATTAAGGCAACTACGAGGACTCTAAAGTTAAAATTTAAAACAGTACTTCCATAAAGATATTTTATATATACTTCTGACTGGAAAAAAAGAGGAGGTAAAGCACCAATTATGCACGTAAAGCGGCCCCAGTATGAATATATATATATATGAGTGATTCTGTAAAAATGAGCACTTTAAGCATCTACTGCGATTGAGCTATTTTATGTGCATATTTGTTCGAAATGAGCTGTGGTGGTTGCTTATCCAAAAAAAGGAACTAGAAAGGACTAAAAATCAAGTGACTAACTTCTGGTATTCAGTACAAGGTTCACGTTTTTACTGTCAATCTATAATATGAGAAAGGGGTTTTGCGGAAGACTTACCTAAACGTGATACGTCGGTTTCCCCTATGGCTTTGCGGTAGCGTAGCTAAGTCTGGAAGACTTTCCAAACATAGGAGAAGCTGAGTATATTCATGGCTTATTAGTGCAGTAATCCGCTACAACCTTTGGAACGAATTAAGAGAATCGGATTTTGGAATATAGACCACCCATTTGTAAAGTATTTGTTGTGTTTTTATTCTAATTTCAAATAGCTCAGCACTTGCTCATTATATAGAAATAGCATAAATTGTCGTATTGACAACACCCAGCAACCTTACATATTTAAACAATTGTTTGAAAATTATAAGTACTTAACAACAAAAATGATAATTTAATTTTTCTGGAATGATGATAAATTTTATCAGAAAGGAAAATGAAGTGACAACTCTTCCTCATTACTAGCTGCACTTTATGTTGACTGATTTCCTTTGCTTTTCACAAACAAAATTGCGGATTTTGTGATCGATAAAATGTCGTACGCACTTCAATAGAGTAGTAAGGGTTAGTCACTTGTTAAAAAGTGCGTGTAAGTCATCGAAAAGACCAAGAATTGATATTATTAAACCTGTTTATGATTGATAAGGAAATACAACCTCTAATTTGTTTTGAAGTGGTCAAGAAGTATCTGGATTTGAAGAGGACTCTAAATTGCTCTTGAAGTAATCATGGTTCAAGGCTTGTTTGGCTGTCAAGCGCTGACTGGGATCAAAAACAAGAAGCTTTTCCACCAAATCCACAGCTTCTGAAGTAGCAACTTCTCGATTTTCATCTGTGATGAACTGTGACCACTGTTGCCGCTTATGACCCAAGTAGCGGCAATCCACTTGTTGGGGAAGAATGTTAATATGATAATCCCGGCAAAACTTCAATAAACATTCAGATCCAAGCACTTTCAGTATCTCCTCTAGCAGATAGTCCTGTCTCCCTGCATCAAATATGAATCGTTTTCGAAATATTGCCTCTGCCACTATACAGCCCATAGGCCAAATATCTATCGAGAAATTATATTTCTAAATCAAATTAATGAATTAGGTCAACGATTGCAAACCGGGTAGTTAACCAATAGCTCAGGACTGAGGTAAGGCAATGATCCAATTCCAGTGTTATAAAATGTGTCCCCTTCGTAAAAAGTAGATAGACCCCAGTCCGTGAGATACACTTTTCGTCTTAAGTGATCAATTAGAAAATTATTGGGCTTAATGTCGCAATGCATTATTCCACGACTGTGACAACCTTCGAGGGCCGTAAACATTTGTCGAAGATAATTTCGTAATTCCTCACCCGAAAGTTTAATATAAATTGTATGCCAAGGAGTCGCATTTATGTACTCAAAGAAAAGAAAGAAAGTGTCCTGCAAAGAGCAAAATTGAGAGGGAAAAAACGAAGATTATTTTCGCAATTGAGAGTGAGAATCATCAGTAGGAACTTACAGTGTCCCAAACCACTGAGCCTAGGAAACGATTCACGTTTGGACATCCTTTCAATGTCTCCAATATCTTAATTTTACGAGAGTAGCCAATTTGGCTTATAGAAAAGGGATGCTTTATTGCAAATCTATAATTTGACTTTGCCACGCTACCGTAATATACTACCCCATACGTTCCGTGGCCAAGTTTCCTGCTGATATCTATAGTTGGATAATTATCATCCTCTGTTACTGACATTTGTTTATTTATAAGTTCACAGAGTTGTTCAACGCCACTATCTTTAGTTGTATCTCCAATTGCGGTCAGATTTCCTTCGCGAATTTTCGAAAAATATGGATGATCAAGTGCCTCTTTAGCTGTCAGACGTTTCTTGTGGTCATAAACAAGCAACTTTTTCACCAAATCAATCGCTTCTTGAGTTATTAGTTCTTCGCAACCTCCTTTTTTAAAATATTGGTATCCCAACCCCTGACACTTTCGAATGCTCCGTTGCAATCCTTTATCCACTGAAATTTCATACTTCTTGATGCAATCGATCAATTCTTTCCCACCTAAAATATTTGCTATTTTAAGCAGCTGTTTCTCCTCCTCTTTTGCACTGAAAATGCGCGTTCTTTGGAAAATGGAACCTGCAAGAATGCAACCAGCTGCCCACATATCTACTGCGTAATCATATTTCTGTAAAAATGAATTATAGTCACATGCACATCAAACCTTATAATTGAGAAGCAGTTCAGGGCTTTTAAAGAAAATATTATTATCATTTGTCGAATATAAATTTCCTTCAGTGTGTTCTAAGGCGTGTTCCAGACCGGTCAATTTTAGCTGTTTTCTGGTCTCACTAATTGCCAGATTTAGGTATTTCACACAACTGTGAATTATATTCAAGGAATGGCACTCGTTTAAAGCAGAAAACATTTGGAAAGCATAAATCTGGATATCTTCCGTCGTTAATGAGTCAAAAATATCCAACCATGTCGAACCACTAAAGTATTCATGTACAATGCATTCTTTCCTCAACTAGGGTGAAAATACTTTGTGCATAAAGAAATGTCTACCTGCGAGCCATGTATATAGGCCAAAATTTTGTAAACATAGGGGCTTCCTTGAAGTTTCTTTAGAATTCGAATTTCATTTTCAGCTCTATCGCGATTGTCTTCGGTAAATAATTTAACTCTGAGAAAGCTTCGACTTTTCCACTCGTAGATTGGACGATCTATGGCATATTTGCCTTCAATATCTCCACCACTGAAATCAAATTTGAAATCCTCAAAGTTAATGCGTTTGGTCTGGGTGGAAGAGGACATCTCGATGGTCTGTTTCAAACGAGATTGATGTTCATCTCAGTTAACGTGGGATTTAAACTGAATCATGGAGAATTATATTTAAATTAATCAGTAATCATTGCATTTTGAGTCACTTATCATTACGAAAATTTAATTGACCAAGTAATTTGTCATTATTTTATTAGAAATGTAATATATCTGTGTAATAAACAGAAATATTTTGTGAATGCCCACCTTCTAGTTAGTATAAGCCCAAATGTGGTCAAGTTGCCAAAGGGCAACAATGACCAATATTTTCAATCTAATGCCGATCTGTCCTCAAGGAATCGTTGAAGTGAAGTATATTCAATTTTAAAATCTACTGATGGGAAATATGCAGTGAATACACAACCTATCTGTGATAATTAAAGTCATCAGCAAGGTCAAGCTTATCAATATATAGTGCACACTTCATAAACAATATTTCGTTTTATTTTATTGGGATAATGTGACATATAAACTAACTCAACTCTTCTATTCCAATATTTTCTCCTAACTTCTTTAATCAGCATTTTCTTTGCCTGTGAACTCCTTTTCTTCTGAGTGAAACTGTAGCCACCCCGAATGGACGTTATTTTGATTAAAACTCTTTCACGATCGTATACAGTCTTAAATATATTATATTTTTTAATGACCAATCAGTTAAATTTTGACTCAAGAGAGCATCAAGCTTCTCCAAAACAACTTGTTTATTATTCAAGTAGATACACGTGTATTCAACTTTATGCATCTACCAAAATCAAAGACATTAACACCCGGTTTGGAAATGCTGATCCACTCATCATATTTCCTACATGAGATTTCCTATTCAAAAGCACTCTTTTTTATCAATTCTCTATCGTCATAGCATACATCCAATAGTAAATGGCATTGTGCTATTCACCTATCCCATTGTTCTCTTATATTGCATATTATCTCTGAACCTACAAGCACTTACCAAGTCAGTCGATTTATACCTGATAAATCCGCGAACCTGTGAATTTTTTTATTGATTACCATTCATTTCACTACCTCTTAGTAACTATACTATCTTTCAACTCATTTATTTGGCAATCATACGCACCTACATGTGCTGAATAATTCTAAATCACTTTGTCTACAAATCTAATTTCCTAGTCTTTTAAACAGTGCATGCATTAAACTACAAAAAAAGTAGATTGTCCGACTTACTCTTCCTGTCGTTCAGCTATATATTGCACAGTGCCCACGAGCCTACGGGTACTGACTATATCATTCGGTTCTCGCCTAACGAAATGAATCAGCGTGTTCTGAAAACAGCGTTTCCTCAGAGTTTGCTGTTCCTTTACTTTATGTGAATTCACCCAAAAGATGCACATTGAGAAGTTGTTCTCCAATTGGTATCTCTGATAGCTCGAGGGTTAAAAATAGTGTAAATTAACATGCTTAATGCTGTCACTAATCAAATTATAATAGAATTAGCTTTTGATGGGTTATCCGGGTTCGATGCCGTTTATTAATTTCCAACGTGTGTAAGCATTTTGACTGCATCCGTAAATTCAATCACGCATATTTGTAACGTACATGAATTTACTATTTTCTGTGTAATTATGAAGAGTACGAACAGTAAAATGATTGAATAATTAGAAATTGTTATCAATTTCGAACAAATATTTTTCAGGTAATGCATAAAGTTACACAAAGCAAAGTTAAAGGACAGTAATCTATGTACATCAACGTTCGTCCCAATAATAGTAAAAATCATCTCCACAAGCTTGGGGCAACTATAATTAAGATAAATCCAATTTAATATAACGATATTACACAGCAATTGAACTCATCCAAAAATATCTGAAAAATCGTGTCTTTCCTTTGAAATCACTAGGTTCAAGTGCATGTAATGTATTTCCTCAATGAATTGTCTTTTATTCCTATCTCTTATACTTCCAACGACAGCCCTTCCACTCAATAATTTAACGATAATAGGTTATTACATAGGGAACCAATTTAATCAAATAGAATTTGGAATTAGTCTAATAAACTTGAAAAAGCCTCTTCTAAGTCCTAGGAATTATATTACTTGTGCATGTATTACCTTAATGCCTAAGTTTCGATCCAATGTGCTCCTCTTTCGCCAAATTGAGAATTCTTAAATTAAGCCCTAAAATTAATAAAATGTGAGCTATCACCATAATTACATACTTAACTTTTGTTTATCGATAATATATTTATGGAGACTACAATATTTGAGCAATTTTTCATTTTATCTACATAAGAAGGGACCTAACATAGTTGGAAGGGTATATTGACGACAGATCACACAAAGACACAGTAAAAATTTTAAGCATCCACTAGGAGATTGAAAAATAGGGAAAATAAGCTGGCCACACAAAGAATATCATTGGTACATGTTATATGGGGCCTATAACCTTATACTGATCCAATACCTTGCCTACAATTGCTGTGCTTCATTACCATTGGTCCATTTATACCATAGTTGCTTGCAATTGGGTGCTCTGAATGGCACAGCTTACCTGTTAGTTAGCGTGGTTGCTAGCTTAGCCCAGGTTCGGTTTACATTACAATTTTTGGGTTTGCGACTTGGGGCCTCACCGTCTCTAAACATGCAGTCGAGATTCACCGATGCTGTACAAGTCATAAGATCTGAATACCCCGGCCTCGATCCTGACATTGATTCGTACCTAGAGGGTAAAACTAAGATTGTTTTTTGTTATTTTGTATAGGTATAATAACGGAGAATGGAGATCATTTTGAATCGGCTGATGAAGTTTATGAAGCCATTGGAAGCTTTCTAGAAGATGCCAACAGCTCTGCAGATGTGGAAAAGTGTTGTAAAGACGTATATAATATTCTTAAACCGTAAGAATATTAATTCACTTTTTATCTTTAAATGGTAGAGATGGATCTGTAAATATAAATGATAAATTGGACGAACCAGTTCATATGACTTCTCTTGTTAATACGTTCAATGATCGTGTAATAAACAATTCAAGTATTTGGATGGTGAAAAAGGAAATGCCTAGTGTACGGTTCTTTATTCTTACGTTTTCCCCCAATTCAGTCAGTTGATTTCAAAAAGTTGGCGAAAGCTGAGGCCAGAGCTCGTGAAAAGGCGGCTAAAAAGTTGCAAAGTACTGAATCTTCAAAGTAGTATATGCTTTACTTTTTTAACCATTTTATTTAGAACCAGTCTTTTTGAGGTGGAGACTGCCAGTGTAAGTCAACAATCAGACAAAAAGCAAAAGTTATCTACCGATGGGTCTGTTAAAAAATTGACGGATTTACGCATTGACAACTTTGACATCTCTTTTGGCAGTCGAATTCTTCTCAAAAATGCTAGTTTGAAGTTGGCTTTAGGACATCGATATGGTCTTATTGGCCGCAATGGATATGGCAAAACCACTCTCCTCCGCGCCCTGGCTAAGTAAGCTGTGGTGTTTGCAATAAGTGTCTTTTGAACCTTATCTATCTTTGCTTGATTGTATTTATTTATTTCAAATGGCGGGCTTTATGACACTTATC